GCTTTTTTGTTTTTCTTCTGGTTTTCTAGAAGAAGTCTTCAAACTTTCACCTCTTTCCTGAATCCACATACAAAATATAACCACCTAGATGTAAGAAAAACATTTTTTGTTTTGTTTTTAAACAGTTAACGATTATCCTTCTGCAAAAAGAGGGTTTTACTTTTCAGTCTCTAAAGAACTGACTACAGCCAAGTCCAATATTTACATCAAACAACAAGCAGATTAGAAGCTGTTAAAAAATTCCAGGATGTTTTTTATGAAATGGCTGCTTGCTTCCTTGAGCAAAAGCAGTTTTTAAGATCCGTATGTTTTAATGAATTATACTCATTCTGAATGCTTTTTTTAAAAATTACAAGAATATACATATATTTTTTCCTCCTTTTGCTATTTTTCATGCAAGTGAGTTGCTCACAAGGAGGCAAGCAGATACCAGCAAAGCAAAAGGGCCAGTCTGTGTACAGGAATCACCATCATAAAGAAAAACCTGGGATGCTCCATCTGCATGTCCAACAGACTCCGACACTTGAGACGGTGCAATGTTTACTCTTCCATCACTTCTTATGTAGCTAAAGGGAGGTATCTTCTCTCGACTACACAGCATTAAGTAGTATCTTATGAAGATGTTTCCTAAAGGTTTGAATATTCTCACTGTTCTCTTCTAGACTCTCTCCAAGAGGGCTCACAGATTTGTTACTTTTAAAGGACATGGTTCATAACTGCTAATGTAAAAATTTATGTCCTTAATGCTACCGTAAGGAAAGCAAAAAAATAACACACCGTGGAGTCTCTAAAAGCTTCAAATTTTTAACAGTGTATGTTTACTTTGCTGCCTGCCAAGGACTATATGCTTTCATCTTGTAAGTCAAATATTTATGTGCTAGGAAATTGGACTGGAGATATAGCTCTCCCATCTTAAAAAAGGAAAAAAAAAGTGCAAAGGAATCAAAGGATAATATGACTACAGTTCAGTGATGCAAACAAATCTCCAATACCTTAGCAGCCTGTTTAAGGGGGAAGATCTCAGAAATTTTAATTTCAGACATTCACATTCAGACTGGGGAATGCAGTTACAATTAAGTTGGCAAACTTAGTTTAAGATCACCTGACTTATAAGTAGTCATCGCTGAAATACACTTTAAGAAACTAGTCCTATAGATTACCATTCTATATTAAGCTAATTAGGTTTGTTACTTCTTTGAAATGTCTTACAACACATACATTACTATAGGAGTAAACTACAAGGTGTTTAACGCAAGAGAAGCCTTTGGTTACTTGGTTATTACTTATTTCTTCAGCCAGAAATATACCAAAGAGGATTTTCAAATAGAAACGGGCCACATCATGAACACTTCACACCATTACAGACCATCAATTATAATCATACCACCTGTCCTGTATGTCTTGCTTCCTTAACTGGTGGCAAATGTCATCTAAAGAACAGACTATGCTGATCACTAGGGTTTCCAAACACATGGTTTGGCAAAAAGCCTTTTTCAACCCCGCACAGCTAATGATCAAATCTTTGTTTTGTAGATTGAGCATCCTTCACTTGCAAGACAGAAAAATAGTTTTTGCTAACAAATTACAAAATGGCACACCAAAACTTGACACTTCTTTTAGGAAAATACTCAGTCTGTTTTAAACATGCCCACCATGTTCTAAGTTTTTCCTTATGCCCTGATTTCAGAGCTTGCTGTCCTGACTGTTTTGCTCAAGTTTATTTAGTGGCAAACTACCAGCATTTAATTGCTGGGACAAGCAGTAGTTATGACAGTTAACATAGTGAGACAGCATCCAGAGCAGCTGAGGCGAACAGTTTTAAAATAAAATTGCAAAATACTATGCAAAAAATCTCATCGGTTAGTATTCAGCACACATTTAGGGCCTGGTCAAACACTGTATTTTACCTTTCTAAGCCCAACAAGTAGCAGGCTGAAGAAAGAAACAGAAGCAAATACTTCAAGTAAAAACTTATATCTAAGAGGAGCATACACTCTGATTTGGATGACAACATGCAACGGCGTCAGCACTTAGTATCTATAAATCACTTCCTTTATAAGGCAGAGCAACATACTTGAATGTCTTGAACAGTATTTCAGGGTTCAGAAAATATTCTCCCTTT